CTTTCCTTTCCTTTCCTTTTTCTTTTCTTTTTCCTTTTCCTTTTCCTTTTCCTTTTCCCTTTTCCCTTTTTTCTTCTCTTCTCTTCTCTTTTTTCTTTCTTTCTTTCTTTCTTTCTTTCTTTCTTTCTTTCTTTCTTTCTTTCTTTCTTTCTTTCTTTCTTTTTCTTTTTCTTTTTCTTTTGCCATAGGACATATGTGCTTGCTAGAGAGAGAGAGAGACAGACAGTCAGTCAGTCAGAGAAAGGGAAAGTGAGAAATCACTCCCCCTGGGGGAATGGCCACACCACAGTTCCATCTCCTCCATTCTCCTCCTGGGATTTTAGGCATGTGTGCACACATACCCAGTATGATTTTCAAGTTAGTGGATCTGGGACTCAAACCATTATTAGTTATTTGGGAGTCCAGTGCTTTAGTCACTGTGCCACATGCTGGCCCTATTCTTCACTTCTTCACTTCTATGAGATATTTTTTTTTCCTTTTAATTACACCTATGAGTAAGATCATGTTGTATCTGTCTTTTCTTTCTGGCTTATTTCACTTAACATGTCTGGAGGGACAATTTATACTCAGGAAAAATGGCAAACTTGATATGGGCTTTAAAATAATGGTATGGTAACAGTGGAGATGTTTGAAAAATGTTTACTTATAACCATTTACTTGTAACCATTTAGCAAGATTCTGGGGTTCATCTCCTGTAAGATCTTATTCTAAAGTTTTGGAAATTGTAGAGCTAATAATCAAAACTGTGTGGCCTGAATTATTTGATCTATTCTAACTTCTTTGAGGACAGAAATGCCATTGTAAAGTAGACTTCCAGCTGATTGGCACAATGAGAGTGTACAGAACATGTCAGTACTGGAGCCAACAGGTGACATAGTGGTTACTGTGCTAGACTTCCACATGGCCAATGGCAGTTCGAGTCCCAGACCTGGTGACTTGAAAATCATGCCAGGCACATATGTGTACATGCCCAAGATCCCAGGAGGGGAATGGACAAGAAGGGATTGAGGAGTGGCCAAACCCTGGGGGTGATTTCTCACTTTCCTTCTTACTGTCTATGTCTCTAGTGAGTGCGTGTACACTATGGCAAAAACCTTTTAAAAAAAAAGTTAGCCCTGTCATTTTGTTGTTTTTCAATTTTTGGTTGTTTTGACACACGATTGTTTAGTCTTGTAATCTTTTGATTGGGGAAGCACAGCCTCTTTCTGAAAGGCAACTTTGCATTTTATCTTCATGTAGAAACTGAAGTTATCTCATATGCTCTGTATTTTGGGGTATCAGGTTAACATAGAAAGGGGAAGATTTCTTTCAAGTTAATTGAGTATTGAGCTTATAAAAGTGATTACCATTGTTGGGATAGCTGGCCCCATAGCCTAATAGTTATAGGAATGGGATTCCACAGGGCTGAATCCTGGCCTCTGTGGCTTGGAAAACACACCAGACTCGTGTGTGTGCTTGTCCTCAAATCCTGACAGGTTGAAGAAATGGAGAAAAAGGAAGGGACTGTGGTATAACTATGCACAACTGGGGGGAGATTTTTCCCATTCTCTGTCTGGCAAGTGCATGTACCCTCTAGCAATTATAATAAATAAATAAATAAATTGAAAAAACATTTTCTTTGGATATAATGCAGTATAAATGTAATAGTTTAAGCAATGGTATAGAAGTTATCATTTTTCTCATTTAAAACCAAACAAATATTAACACTTATCAAAGTATCTTATTCTTCTAGGTGGTAAGTACTGTATCTAAATGAATTTTTATGTAAGTTTTTATTGTGATATTTTCAAAAATATAAATATGATCCTCTAATAAAAGCATGCAGAATCACAGATGAAGAGGTTCTATTTCCGGAGGCATAATAATAGCAATAGCATTAATGACTCTAAAATGATGACCCGTCAGGTTGTTTTCATCTCGTAAGCTGCTAAATGAAACCAAATTGGTTTGAGTCAGAAATGAAAGAAAATAGCATCATTTGTGAGTGCCTAATATTATAAACTAAACTAGTAAGAGAGAAGTCAAACTGGCAGACACTGACAGACTAAGACTAAGGGCCCACAAAGGAACTCAACCATGTCCTTTTGCCCTTTTTTTTTTTTCATAGGTTTTTGCTACAGGGTGCATGTGCTCGTCAGAAAGACAGAGAGAGGCAGAGAGATAGAAAGCAAGAAATCACCCCTAGGGGGGATGGCCACAACACAGTCCCTTCTCCTCCATTCTCCTCGCAGGATCTTGGGCATGCACGCACACACACCCGGCGTGATTTCAAGCTACCGGGTCCGGGACTTAAACCATAGTCGAGTACATGGGAGTTCAGTGACATAGCCATTATGCTAACTGGCTGATCCCCTTTTGTCCTTTTCTAAGTTTTTTTTTTTTTTTAATGATACCCTTTTGGTGTTGTCTCTTTACTTTTTTATGTTAAGTACTATTTCTGTTTCTTAATGCTGCTATTTGGGGAAAGAAAATAGTTCAAGGCATCATTGGCCTCTTAGTAGGGCTATTATCATTTGAAAAAGGAGATGAAATATCTCCCTCTTAAAAATGTCAGGGAGGTCATAAAGCTGACCATTCTAGGCCTTCATCTCCCTTGAAACCTTCTGAGCCATATGTTCTATGGGAAATTTTCCCATTTTTTCTGTAATGAAATCAACAAAGGTTTCACATTCAAGAACTATGGCCTCTTCAGCCACCCATAGTTTATAACCCTGATTCAGTGACATCCTCTGAGAGCCTGACCTTTCCTCCAAAGAATGAGGAAAATAGTGCCTACCTTAAAGGTCTTGTTAAAGTCAGATTGGGAAAATATATGTTTAAGCACTTGAAGAGTCTATAAATACAGAATCAGAAACGTTAATTTTAATCTTTATGGGGTGCTCCCTTCAGGGCACTGTTCTAAGCATCCATTTACTTCCAGTCACTTGGTAATGGCTAAAAACATCTCAAGATGTTAGATGATCTTCTCTTATCTTCATTTTCACAATAAGGAAAGTGAGACATTCATTATTTCTGTTCTTTTTCTATTTATTTTTACCAAATTAATTGTATGTATTTCTGGGATGTATATTTTGACACATGTACATTCTGTATAATGATCAAATCAGGGTATTTGGTATAGTCGTCATCTCAAACTTAGCTTCCTTGTAGTGAAGCCTAAACATCTTCTCTTTAGCTATTTTGAAATATACAATAATGACTGTTCTGACCAGCAGCTCACCAGAATTTATTCCTGCTAACCATGACCCTACATCTGTTAACCAATCTCTTCCCATCATCCTTCCTCTAGGTATGCTACTTAATTTCTTCAAAGTCATGTAACTGGTAAATCAAAGAGCTTGAATTTAAAAAGAAGCTACATTATTATCCACTGCTCTATAGAACTAGTAGCATTGGTGAATTTTCTTTTTCTTTATTCCTGTAGGTGAATATGAATTATTACATTCTCTTGGCATCAAATGTGGGGCTTCTCTTTGGACTATCTGTGCTTAGAAATTATTTAAAGCCAGGACTAAGCACTTTATCAGTAATGAACAAAAAAATAACATAGGAGGCCCAGCTAAAAGAAGCCTTTCTTCTCTTAAATAAAAAACAAAGAGAAGACTAATTCCATAGTGAAATGTTTGTGCCCTAGTATAGTGATATTTGAAGATCTCTACATCTCTTAAGTTTAAAAAAATGGAGTTTTAATAGAATTTAAAATAAATGATATACATTTATATGTGTTACTTTACAAATAAACTATATAAAATGAGAACATTTAAAAAGAATGTAATCTATGTGATAAAACAAGAATTAAAAGCACTGCTTCGTACTGTCTGATGAACCTCATCCACAGCTATTCTGGGGGAGAGGGTTCTAGGCAGCAATAGAAAACTGGAGGGCCTCGGGTATCAATATGACCTGCCAGAAGCATTTACTCTTATAAAGAGGATTGCACAATCACCTAAACACTGGGCACCACATGGAAATTTGGAGTTCTGCCTTTGTCCTGGAAAATCAGACCTGGCAATGCTGGTTTGCATTCCCACATGACAGCCATTGACAGAAGCTGAGCACCAGCTGGTCTCCATAGACAAACCCGGTGCTCTGGTTTATCACAACCCCCACACTCCCTATTGTCCTTTAGGTGAATTCACTCTTTTCCTTTGTCTGCTTGTCCTCTGTAGCCAGTGGAGTTTGGAGCCTCTGAATCAGATAGAGTTCCTCTCTCTGTTCTGCCACAATCTACAATCAGGAGCATTTTGAGCAATTCTGTGTGAATAATTTCATTACTTTACAATGAAACTGAGTGTATCATTCTTTCAGTAAGAATTTCTGGTAGGCTCACCGATTCCCCAGTCATTTCAAAAAGTTTTATTATTATTATTTTTTGTGCTTAGAGGTCAACAAAGTAAAACAAAGGACTTAAAAGGAAATTCATCCAGATGCTTTGAAAGGCAGATGTGAAAAATTAATGGTTTATCCTTAAGTCCTTCTTGGCATGCTTAAATCAATCTCTTCTCTACTAGAAAGGAATTAGCATTTCAATATTTTTTTTTTTACTTAATTGTGTAAGACAAATTTCCATTGAAATTTTCATGTAGAATACTAACTAGTTTACCATATTAAACTATCAGAACAACTTATATTTTATAAATGAATTATGGAATAAGGAACAAAAGTATAGTCCCTTAAACTGATTAGCATTTGATTCACACATGGGGTGCTTCTGATAGTATCAGTTGGTTATCTTCTCAGCCTACTTGGTTGCAAATTAAATAACAGAAAAGATGTCTTTCTGTAGAGATTCCTTGTCTGCGAATTCACGTTGATAAAGAGTTCCAGTGCATTAAACAAGTGTGTTAGTTTGTTAATGGATAGCGTGACACAGGTAATTAACTATGAAGTCATTAAGGCTTTTCTGTGCTATGACAGTTGTGCTTACCTGTAACAGATTAATGAACATGTCAAATGTTTCTTTCTCCTTGTTATTGCAGATCAGCCTTGAGTGGAATTTGACAGAAGATGTTTCAACAGGTTTCTCTCTGGAGAAGTTTCGCTCTGGGGATCACCCTCGGCTCTCTCTTTGCGATCTGCTTGGGCCAGTATGACGACGGTAAAGATGCTTTCAGTCTGACCTTTAGAGCTAGCCAGGATTTCTGTTATTAAATTGAAAATGAAACACAGCATAGAAGTGAATAATGCTAATTTGTAGTTCAGTTCTAAAGGTTAGTAGCTCTGTGCAATAATTTACCTTAATTAAAATAAGCTTGCAAAAGTGGCATCAGATGCGCTTTGTTTCTTAATAAGGTTTGCAGTATGGTAGAAAGTCCCATGTAAGACCTCAATTGGAATACAAACTCATTCTCACCAAGCAAATGCTTAAATGCTATGAAAAAAATATTGAATTGTTTACTGACCCTTGAACAAGCAAAACAAAGATCTCAAACAAAACTTGCAGTACAAAAACAACAAAATTTCCTGTAAGAGAAGATCTTCGATGGGTCAAAAATAGAAGTCATAGTGACTTAAGTGTTAGCACCTTAATTGGGCATTGCATTAATTTATCCCTCCACTATTTTATTTGTATGAAGTGAGAAAATGTAAAAAACATGGTATTTGACTTC